AGGAGGTGCCCTGTGAACCATTACCTTCTCACCCTGGAAGTTCCCTCATCTCCTATGGCCTTCTTACCCTGGAACATTCCTCTGCCCCTGTGGCCTCCTTCTCCAATTGGTGAGTTCCTCTCAAAACCTCCATTTTGAGAAAGGCCCCAAGCCAGTCATCCTTCATGCCTCTCCTGGTTTGCTTCTGATTTTCTGTACTTTGCCACGATATTTTCCTCCCTTCTCCCTCAGCTCCCTCTTACGTGTTATATTCCCCAATTAGAGATGTAAGCTTCTTGAGAGCAAGAATTTTCTTACTTTTTGCTTGTATTTGTGTACCCAGTACTTAGCACAGTGGGTACATTTACAAATACTTAATAAATGCTTGTTGACATGTATAACTTGTATCAAGTTACTTGACTTCTCAATGAGGGTGGGTGGGGAGGGAGGAAGGGAGAAAATTTGGAACCAGTTTTAAAAACAAATATTTAAAATTCTTTTCACATGCAACTGGGAAATAAGATATACAGGCAATGGGATATAGAAATCTATCCTGCCCTACAGAAAAATAGAAGGGGAAGGAGATAAGAGAAGGGGAGGGAGATAGAAGGGAGAGCAGATTAGGGGAAGAGTATTCAGAATGCATGCCATTTTAGGGTGGGGGGAGGGACGAGATGGGGAGAAAATTTGGAACTCAAAATCTTGTGGAAGTGAATGTTGAAAACTAAAAATAAACAAATATATTAATAAATGTTTGTTGACTTGACAAGAATTTAAATTTTGCTTCTGCCATTTATCATGACCCCTTTGGGTCTCACTTTGCACATCTGAAAAATGATAAGGTTGGATGACCTCTAACATCTCCTTCCAGTTCTAAATCTATGATCTCATGATCTTGAGCCTTTGCTCATTCAGGTCTCTCCTAATGAACTTTCCCTTTCACCACACCCAACTCTTATCAGTCATTTCCAACCCCTCTACCTGTCCACAAACATGATGACCATGTCCTTTCTTTCAGCATATTTCTCCATCTCCTTCTTCAGCCATCGAACCTTCTGACCTCCTCCAACTGTTCTAGCCACATCTCCTCCTCTCCATTCTTCTCCTAGGCCCAGTGTCTGTTGGAGGGAAAGTGAATGCCAGGAAGAAGAGATTATCTTTTTTTTTTTTTTGCCTGTCAATAGACATGTTAAGCCTACTATGTGCCCAGCACTGTGCTAACTGCTGGGGATACAAAAAGCAGCAAAAGGCAGTCACTGCCCTCAAGGAGCTCACAATTTAATAAGGGAGCCAATTAGCAAATATAATAAACAAAGTATATACAGGATAAATAAGAAATAATTGAGAGAGAAGGTATTAGAATCCATTTCAAGATTTCTAAAAAGCAATTAGAGGTGCAAGATGTTAACAGATGTTAGGGCAATCTGACTATCAACATAGAGACAAATGACAGTTAAATCCATGAGGGCTGATGAGATCACCAAGTGAAGTAGTAGAGTGGGAGAAGAGAAGAGGGCCCAGGACAGAGCCCTGTGGGACATCACTTGGCCATATTCTAATGAGGAAACAAGAAAGACCCACATGCTCAGGGGTGGGGGTGGGGGGAAGTGTCTTAAAACACATTAAAGGGCCTCCATGAATTGCTCCATGCCAAGGAAAAGGTCCAATGATCAAATACCTCCTTATCTAAAGATATCTACTCTAAGCTTTGTAGCGACTCCAAGCATGTATAGTAATTAGTTATGGTGAACAGAAACAAGAATATTATATTTGAAGGCCATGAATATATATACCCAAAACACCTTCTTATAGAAGAAATGTCTTAGCCAAACAAACCCTGCCCCCCTCAAGGACCCAGACGTGCAGTACTGCAGCTCTTCCTACTTCCCTTCCCCAGCACACATACCCCCACCCACCTAGGGGATCCTCACCTGAACAGTGTAATTGAAAAACTGTGCAGACCGCAAGAATCTCAGATATCCTTCTGTCTCCTCTGTAGCAGCAGTGATTACCAGGAGTTTATCTGAAACGGTGACCAGTGAATAAGGACCCCCCACCCCCAACAATAATGTAAGCCCTTCACCCCTAACTCAAGGCTCCTATTTTACACGAGTAAGAATAAGAAATGTCAGATGGGGGATGGGAGCTAAGTAAGGGGAGATATAACCAGAGCAAAAAAAAAAAAAAAGAGGGCAATGTGTTTGTTGCCCCCTTTCTAGATGAAAAATAGAAGCCAGAGAAAACTGAGTGGGGACTTTGCTTTGCTTCTCAAACTTCCCACTCCTTTTCACCACCCTGGGGGCTCCAGATGGAGGACTTCTGGGACCATGGCCCGCTCTCCGCCTTAGACGCTATCCCAAACCCAGTAAACTTCTGCCAGTTCCCCAGCTACGGCCCCTTCCGCACTCCGCGGCCACTAACCGGGATTGACTCTCTCGCCACCGCCGAGACTGGCGGCAGCGTCCGCTACAGAAGCTGGCGCTGAGGCCAAGGCGCCCGGAGGTCCCAGCAGCTGCAACGGTAGCGGCAGCAGCAACAGCAGTAGCAGCAGCAGAGATGACAGTCCCCGCTGAAGCCGGAGCCGGAGCCGGAGGCGAAGCGAACCTGGGGAGCTCATGGCTGGGCGTGGACAGTGATACTGACCAGGCCAGACACTGGCGGGCGCGCGCCGGCCCGGGCTGCAGCGGAGTTGGCTCTAAAGATCCCGGCTGGAGAAAGGGAGCATTGGAGAAGGAAAAGGATTGGGGGTAGCTTCGGGGAGGGATGAGGTGGTGTTCTGGAAGACCTGGGGGGGGGGGAAGACGTAACCCGAGGCGACGGAAACCGAAATCCAACTCTCAGACAAGGCGGGGATTGTGCTGGGGCTAGCAGACGCTTTACTGGGGGCACGTCTAGGGAAGTGGGCAGGGAAAATTAGGGAGAGTAACTGGGCGGGGAGGGGAGAAGGGAGAGGATTTGGGAGAAAAGGAGGTGGGGAAAGGGAATTGGGAAGTAATTGGAGAGGAAAGGGGGCAAAGGGTTAGGGAAAGTGAAACTGGACTATTGGGGGGAATTGAGGAAAGAAATTGGGGGAGAAATTGGGATTGTAGACTTTAGACGGGCAGAGGAGTCAGGAGACCAGGGTTCCAGTCCCGACTCTGCCACTAATTAGCTGTATGACCTTACAAGAGTTCCCTCCCCCTGTCTAATTCTCAGTTTCTTCACATTTAAAAGGACTAGATGATCTATCTGTGAGGACCCCTCCAGCCCTCATATACCACGAATCTTCGGAGAAAGGAGGGTATAGGTAAAGGAATAGAAAGGGGCAGGTAAACTTGGAGTATGGAGAGATGAGATGAGAACACTTGGGACTGGGAGAAAGGAAAGAGCACGGGATTGGGAGGAGCAAGACAGGCTGAGGGTAAAGAGAGGGGGCACTGAAGTTTAGGATACAAAACTAGAAGCAACTCATTTACTTTATCGATAAGAAAACAGGAGCAAAAAGGTTAGATGAGTCGCCCAAAGATACACAAGACACTGAAAAAGAGTAAGAATTAGAATCCAGGGCCCTGTCCATTTCCACTATCCTGGGCAGCCCTCAGAGAGGAAATTCCCCAGGGCCTCTCCCTTCTAATTCCTGAAAGGCAAATTACACAATGAAAATTATCATCACAATCTGGCTCCAGCCTATCTTGGCAAATTCTCATTACTCACTCACACAACCTACCTGGCCCACTTGTTCCCCATAAATTATATTCTATCTCTCATTTTTCTGTGTTAGCAAAAGTTGTTCCCCCATGCCCAGAGTGCTCTCCTTGCTCCCCTCCACTTCTTGGAATCCCTAGTTTCCTTCAAGGTTCAATTCAAGTGTCTTCTTCAAGAGGTCTTTTCAGATTCTCCTATTTGTTAATGTTCTTTCTTCGAATCGCTGTGTATTTTTTATTTTATTGATGTTTTGCTTTTTCTTACAAATTGCCCCCATTCTGTTAGAGGTCTTTTGTAACAAAGTAAAACAATTATATAAAACTATTAATAGTGACTTTATCTGAAAGTACATGCAACATTCCACAAATGAAGCACCCCTTCTATATGTTTAATAATAAACAGAAATCTTTTTTTCTCCCAACACTCCACTCTATGGGGAAAGAAAAGAAGAAAAACAAATTCCTTGTAACAAATATGTATAGGAAGAAAAACAATTCTCTATATGATTGTATGTAAATATATGCATATAAATATATACGTATGTCTCATTCTGCACCCTAAATTCATTATCTATGTAGGCTTCACTTCTGGTCCTCTAGAATTATGAATTCTCATAGTATGAATGCACATAGTTCTTAGAGCTTTCAGAGTTGTTTTTATTTGTTTTGTTGTTGTTTTTTTTTTTTAGCTAGGCAATGGGGTTAAGTGACTTGCCCAGGGTCACACAGCTAGTGTCAAGTGTTTGGTATGAAGTCGGAATTGAACTCAGGTCCTCCTGACTCCAGGGCCGGTGTTCCATCCACTGTGCGACCTATCTGCCCCCTCAGGGTTGTTTTTATAGTGGGGATATTGTTCTCCTAGTTCTGTTCATTTCATTATTCATCAGATTATAACAATCGTCAAAATTTCCACGGGGCAGCTAGATGGCACAGTGGACAGAGCACCGGCCCTGAAGTCAAGAGGACCTGAGTTCAAATGTGGCCTTAGACACATAATACTAGCTGTGTGACCCTGAGCAAGTCACTTAACCCCATTGCCTAGCCCAAAACAACAACAAAATTTCCGAACCCAAAAAGTCATAGGATCACATTTCTAAATCTGGAAGGGACCCTAGAGGCCATCCAAAGCTTTCACTTTTACAAATGGGGAAACTGAGGCGTCGGTGGCACCGGCAGTGGCTTCTCCTCTTAAGAAACAAAGTGTAAAGCTTCCTAGTCTCCTAGGCAACACGTGGCAGCGGTAGGGCCCAGCGTTCGATTACGCTTAGGGCTCTTAAGGAAAATACTGGCCTTGGAAATGTCGTCCTTCCTCTGACGTAAGAGCCTCCGCCGGAAGTAGCTGGGATCTCAGCAAAGCGGCGCTTCCGGGCGAGCGTCCGCGCCTTCGCCGCCGCTGCTCGTGGGCTGGATCGGCGAGAATGGTGGAGAAGAAGTCTTCGGGTGAGTGTGATCCTCCCCGGATGGGTCCGCGGGGCCCCACCGCCCCGCCGCCCTTCAGCCCTGCTCGGGCAGCCGCTCCCCCGGCGGGGGCTTCCCGCCTGACCCCGCTCTCCCCTCTCCTTCCACCCAGTGCGGTCCCAGGACCCCGGGCAGCGGCGCGTGCTGGACCGGGCGGCCCGGCAGCGCCGGATCAACAGGCAGCTGGAGGCCCTGGAGAACGACAACTTCCAGGACGACCCCCACGCCGGCCTTCCCCAGCTAGGCAAGAGGCTGCCGCAGTTCGACGACGATGCCGATACCGGTGAGCCGGAGCGAGGGAGGGCGAGGGAGGGCGAGGGAGGGCGACGGGTGCTGCGGCCCCGGACCTGCATTCTCTGCACCGGGCGCCTTCCTGGCGGTGGGCGGAAGTCCTTGAACCCTTGCAGAATGTTTTTAAACGTGTAAAATATGTGTTATTACAAAGGCAGCCAATTGTATTGAAATGTGGTTATCGATGTATATTGTGGATGTCAGGATTGAGAGCTGGAAGGGACCTAACGGATGTGGACCAGGGGCTCTTAACCTTTTTGATGGCATGGGCTGTCTTCTTGGCAGTGTGGTGAAGCCTTGGAATGCTTTGCAGAAAGTTTTTCAATGTATAAAAGACATACGATTACAAAGGAAAAGAATTACATTGAAATACAGTTACCAATATCTATTATAGAGGTTAGGATTTAGAGCTGGAAGAGACCTAAGAGATCCGGACCAGGGGCTCTTAACTTTTTTTGTCTTGATCTCTCCCATTGGCAGTGTGGTAAAGCCCTTGAACCCTTTGCAGATTGTTTTGGGGTTTTTTTTAAGGCAGTTGGGGTTAAGTGACTTGCCCAGGGTCACACAGCTAGTGTCAAATGTTTGGTCTGAGGTCGGATTTGAACTCAGGTCCTCCTGACTCCAGGGCCGGTGCTCTATCCACTGCGCCACCTAGCTGCCCCTGCAGATTGTTTTTAAATGTATGAAATGCATAGAATTGCAAAGGAAACCAATTATATTGAAATGTAGTTTATATAAATTGTGAAGGTGAGGATTTAGAGCTGGAAGGGACTTTGGAGATCTTCCGGAGGGGGTCTAACTTTTTTTGGATCATTCCCCCCACCCTCCCTTTGGCAATATGGTGAAGCCCTCAGACCCTTTGCATAATATTTTTAAATGTATGAAATACATTACAAAGGAAACCAATTATATTGAAATATAGTTATCAATATATTTTGTGTGTGTGTGTATATGGCCTCAGGTGAAGAACCTCTGTTCTTTTCCAACCCCTATCCTGAAGAAAAAGAAAATGAGACCCAGAGAGAAGTAGTGGTTTGCCGAAGAACACATGAGGAGTAAGTGGAAGAGCCACAATTCAAAATCAGGTCCTTTGACTTCAAATATGGGCTTTTTAATTCAATTAAGTTAAACAAGCCTATGTAGAGTCCCAGGTACTGTGTTACTTACTGATGTTAGAAAGACAAAAGCATATGGGCCCCATCCTTAAGGAATTCATATTCTCATGGGCAGAAACAGCACATAGATAGATAGATATCTCTCTATATAAATATAATGTAAATACAAATATATAAGTAATTTTCCTGGTGGAGAGTACAGACTTAATATGTAGGGTTATTTAATAAGACAGAGGTTCTAGAGGACACAATACAAGGGTAGGGAAGAGTGGGATAGAGGCACTGGACAAATAGAGATAACATGAGTTTTAGGGAACAGGGAGTGGTGGTAGAAAGCCTAGGCAGCCCTCTCTGCGCATGGATTCTACATGGAGCTATAGGGCACTAGACTGTCATGCCTTTCACAGTAGAAGAGGCAATATTCACTTCATTATCAATCTCTGAAAAAGAAGTTGGGGGGGCCAGGGAGAGGTGTTATGTGTGATAGCAGGGCAGATATCCAGTCCCTGGTCCTGCCTCGTAGTCCACACAAGGGTAGAGTTCTAGGGCCGGGCTGGTTATAGAGAGATGAGGCATGTTTGAGATGTTGTACTCATCCTGTGCTAGAGCATTCACTCCAGTGCTTCAGGAGTAAAAGGGACCAAGGGAAAAGAGAGACTAGACAGGATAGTACAGGAGAGCTTGTAAGAGAAAGAAAAACATCCTGATGGAGGAAAAAAGATGATTGTAACGATTGATTGTCAGGGGTACTTTCTTGTTAGCCCCAGTGCTGCCATTCACTCCCTTTGTGATTTTGGGCAAGTCACTTTTCTTGTCTGAGTTAATTAGGTTAGCAGAACCCTTAAGATTCCTAATCCCTTCACAAAGTTGGAGCCCTCAGTTACATTTAAATTCATAGACTAGCTCTGCTAGTCTTTGTATCTGAGGCAGCATGGTCATATAGAAAGAACACTGGACTTGGAACTAGAAGACCTCTTTAAGCTTTGAGGTCTCTTTTAGCTTTCAATCCATGACCTATGACCTCTGCTTTTGAGGTAATAGGTGAATGAAGTAGAAAGATAAAAGGGGGGCTTAAGTGGGAGGGAGAAAAAAATCTGTGATTCTCTGAAAGGGGCACAGTGGAAGTGTGATGAACTGGGGAGATATCTGCCTCAAGATGAGCAAAAGTGGGGAAAGAAAGGCAATTGGAAAAGTTCACAAAATAACTCCTCCTATTCCCCTTCAGGAAAGAAGAAGAAGAAAACTAGAGGTGATCATTTTAAACTGCGTTTTCGAAAGAACTTCCAGGCCCTTCTGGAAGAGCAGGTGAGAAGAGTAGGGGGGACTTAGGGGGTAAGAGGTAGGAAAAATAGAAATTACATCAGGGAAGGGGGCAAACTTGAATTGGGCAATAAGGAGGTAACTGTAGATCCATGTCCTCACTTCTTTCATTTTTCCAGAATTTAAGTGTGACTGAAGGCCCTAACTATCTCACAGCCTGTGCAGGGCCTCCTACCCGGCCCCAGCGCCCCTTCTGTGCAGTGTGTGGCTTCCCTTCTCCTTATACTTGTGTCAGCTGTGGAGCTAGATACTGTACTGTCCGCTGCCTTGGCACACACCAAGAGACTCGGTAAGACTGGACCCTGTTCTTCCCCTCGCACAGTCCTTCTATTCCCTCTTTAAGCCAATCTATTTCTACCTCCTCTCCCAATATGTTTTGTGCTGGGGAAACCTGAAGATGTTCCCTTCCCACTTGTCCCCATATATACTGTCCACTCACAATTGCTTGCTGTGAAATAACCTAGGTAAATTCAGTGATGGGAAAAAAGACCAGACCTCCTTTTCCATAAGAGACTCTCCTTTCCTATCTCTGTACCCTATCCTACCCTCCCCTCCTTCTCCTATATAACTGATACCTCAACTCTGTCCCCAGGTGTTTGAAGTGGACAGTGTAAGTCTGGGACCTTTCCCCAAGGAAAGAAAACCCTGCCTTGCTCTCTCCAGAGAGAAAAGATGAAACTGTTGGAACCTTACAGCTTCCTAGACAGGACTATTCCTCAATCTCTGTTTCTTTTCTTTGTTTTTCCTTTTTTTAAATTTTGTCATTCTGTACTCCACAAATATCATCAAAATCAGTGTTTCCAAATACACCGAAGTCACAAAATATGATTATACATAAAATTCTTATATGCATCTTGCATTCTTTGAAGGATATAATAAATGCAACGTGTTAATTTCAGAGCTGTCCTGCTTGTCTCTCCTTCTGAACCCTCTTCTATGCATTTTTAAAATGCTGTAGTGACTCTTTCTTTATTTTTTGGCATATCTATTGCTAGTTCTCTTCTCCCTTCTAAATCCCTCCCATTAAAAAAAAAAACCAACCTCCTGTAATAAATAAGCATAATCAAGCAAAACAGATCCTTACCTTTGCTGTATCTGCAAAGGTATATCTCTTAATCCTGTTTCTTTTCCAACAAGGAAGATAAGAACTGGGGAAATGAGAGCCCCTTTTCTAAGTCCTGCCCTCAGTGCTTCAGTTTAGATGGGGGAGGTGGTGTGGAACTAAATCCACAAAACACTGCAGTCCAATCTGTGTGTCTCTAATAAAGCCATAAGAAAAAGTTTTGCCATACCAAGTTGACATTTTATTTGTTGGGGGTGGGTATGAAGGTTGAGGTCCTTCTATTCCTTCTCATAACTCTATTCTCATCCTTGGTCCTTAGTGTCTCTACTCTTAATCATCCTCTTGTCACTAAATCTCCTGGTTTCTCCTTTAGTGTCTATGTTCTTTCTTTTTACTTAATTTCCATATAACCTATATGTGAAGATGACTGGGCCACCTACTGAAGTAAGAGGGAGTAAGTAGAGGAAATGGTGCAGAAGAAATTGGAGAGCTTGCTGTCCCTATCTGTGCCCTTAGGGTTTTCCAGTCAAATGGACAAGACAACTTGGCCCTTGTAACTAACAATCAAGTCTGTTGGCTTCTGTTACCAGAAGTAATGATGTTGGAAGTGTCTGAAAATGGGGCAGAGGGTGCTAAGAATCACACAGGTTTTTTTTTTTTCAGTCATGTCCAGCTCTTCATGACCCCATTTGGGGTTTTCTTGGCCAAGATTCTAGTGAATGGTTTGCCATTTCCTTCTTCAGCTCATTTTACAGATGAATAAACTGAGGCAAATAGGGTTGAATGCCCTGAGTCACACAACTAAATAAGTGTCTGAGGCCAGATTTGAACTCAGGAAAATGAATCTTCCAGACTTCAGGTCCAGCATTCTATCCACTGCTCCACCTAACTGCCCTCACACAGTTTTTAGACCACCTATAAACTTTAATGTAATTATTGCTATTCTGAATGTGAGATTCTTGTCCAGTGGCTGAATATGCTGGAGTAAATGAATTATATCAACCTTGACATTCTTGCTGTAAACCAAACCAGAAGAAAGAAATTTAAGCTAAAGGGGCAAAAACAATTTTTGTGAGATATTTGAACATTATATATTGCAGTGCTAATAAGTATTTGTCAAAAGAAAACAATGAAAATTGCCCTTTTTTATTGCACCATTGGTTATCAAGGATGAAGAGGCAAAGATGAATTTGATAAAACCTTCCAAATTAAGTCTTCATATGTTCAGACATTTAGTGACTTAATGCAAAAGCAGAAAAGTGGGGATGGGAGAAATATGTACACATATATACACGTATATACATACACATATGTATGTTGTGTGTGTGTGTAAACATGGCTCTGGAATAAAGAATGACAGAACACAAATACTTGTAGGTTACACAAAAGCCTCATACTTTTAAATCATAAACACTTTGAGAAAAGAATTGATAAATACTGGTTAGGAAAAGTGCCAGTAACCCCACAAAAGGAGTTGTTACTGATGTAGGAATTACCTCTGAATCAGCTATTTGTGGTGACCATCAGCTTATTGGATTTAAAATTAAAATTAGCTTTAAAAAAGAAAAAGATGAGGCATATAATCAAAACTATTTAAATAAATAATTAGCAACCAAAACTGGGGAGTAGACAGTAGAAATGACATCAATATTGTGGGCTCTGATCATAAGCCATTATTGGTTTAGCTGTGAAAAGGAATAGACAGGACCACAGCTTGTAAGGATGGGGGCCGCATCAGGGAAAAGGTTTTTAAGTCTAGGGGACATCTAGATATTTGCAGGTAACTGGCCAGGAGCCAGTAAATAGAGAAAGAAGATGGTCTTTGAAAACCAGTGTGTGTGCTCACACATGTTGGGTTGGATAGGGGACTGGATGACCTCTCCGGTCCCCGTTCTGCATCTGAAGTGCCACAGGGACATAGTCTGGTCATGTGAGAAGTTAGAACAATAGAGTTCCTCGGAGCTTGGCCAAAGCTTAAAAAGGCCTGATCTCTATTGGCAGGGTAATGACTCTTCTGCTTCCTACTCGCATAACCTTTAGCAAGCCAATAACCTTCCTGGGCCTCAGTCTCTTCACCTACAAAAAGACGTCTAAGGTCCTTTCTGTCTTTAAATCTGTGATCCTATCCTTAGTACTAGGAAGTGCTCATTAAATATTTGTGAATGCATGTATTCAAAAAGGTATTAATGTGGCTTAACATAGTGTTACCAGGATCACCTTTAGAAGGGTGTCTTTTCATCTTCAGTGTACCCTGAATGAATGAATAAAGCACTTCCAAATTGCTGAGTTACTATATGCTACACACTAGGGATACAAATAGAAAAAACAGTCACAGTTCCCAAAGAGCTTACATTCTAATGTTAGTCAATCAGTAAACATTAACTGCTCACTATATACCAGGCACTGTGATAACCACTAGGGAGAGACAAAAAGAAAGGCAAAAGGCAGTCCCTGCCCTCAAAAAGCTTACAGTTTAATAGGGAAGACAACATGCAAATAAGTATGTACAAACAAGTTATATACAAGATAAATTGGAGATAATCATCAGAAAGAAGGCACTAGAATTAAGGGGGATTGTGAAGACTTTTAAAGAAGATGGAATTTTAGCTGGAACTTAAAGGAAGCCCGGAGCCAGAGGAGGAAGAATATTCTAGACGTGAGGTGCAGCCAGTGAAAATGCCTAGTGTGTACTTGTTGAAGGAATAGCAAAGAGACCAGTGTCACTGGATTAAAGAGAATTGGGGCAGGAGGAGGGGAGTCTAGAGATGGAGTAGGGTGTAAGAAGACTGGAAAAGTGAGGGAGTGAGCAGGTTATGAAGGGCTTTAAAAGGCAAACAAAAGATTTTATAATCTTGGAGGTAACAAGGAGCCACTGGTGTTTATACAGTGGTGGGGGCTGACCTGTGATTTAGGAATATCACTTTGGTAACTGAGTGAAAGTGTGGGGTCCAAAATTGTCCAATCTGCAAGAAAAAGCACTGAGGCAGAGCTCCAAGCCAGTAGCACTTTATGAAAGGGTCTGTGGACCTCAGATCTTCTTCATGACCTGAGATGCCCCCTGATCCCCAGGACCTTGGTTTTTATAGAGTTTGGTACCCACTCAGGAGAGGCAAAGTCAAATATAAAATCCCATTGGTTGGTAGCCCTTGTTTTTGAGGACCAGAAATGATGGATCAGCCAAAAAAATGGTGTGTCAGCAGGGGTTGCTTCCCTAGATGATGGCTGTGAGGGCTGGTCTGAAAGCAGGACTCATCTGGTAGGTGCTGCCACTCCCTGGGCTCCCATGCCCATCTCTTGGTGGTATTTGGTCAGCAGCTGATGCTGGTGGTGATGAAGGTGGGCCCCCTCTCCACAATAATGTCTCCCCTCAATGATGGCTGTGGGAGCTGGACTGGAAGCAGTTTTGGTCGTTTGTGGGATATGGCTATTCCCAAGGCTCTTGGACTCTGGGTTCTGGGCCATCTCCCAAGGTCTTGGGGAAGTAGTGGTCAAATTAGTGGTAGTGGAATGAATAAAGGAAGGCAGGAAACAAATATTTAT